ATGGCTGGCAGCAGGCTTTTTCTGCTTTGGCTACAAACCAGCAACACAAGATACAGAAGAAAAGAGGAAATACTGACAGTGTATCCCCTGAGTCAAGTTTTGTTGTGTTTGAGAAGACTGTGAGAGAGTGAGGACTGTGCACAAATGCATTCTTCAATCTATTTCCTAAGAGTGCTCCTGTGAAATCACTTGTCTCAAGGTTTAGAAGGGAAAGAAAGGTTAAATGGAGCAAAGTAGCTGACTACCTGCACCCACCTAAACAGTCCTCAACTTTGTACAGCCCAGTCTTATCCGACTTTCTGTGTTTGGTAGCGCAGAACCACCACTGCAGTATGAATTTGCTTATTATTGGCACAACCTGTCCCTGTTGGTCCGGAGATAGTTTCTGGGTGCCTTTTAGGATAAAGGACATTCTGCTTGGTAACCAGGCTGATCTGCAAGTGACCTCTGATGCCTTGGGTCACTGAATGGTGAAGACTCCAGCATGGGCAGAGAGGGCTACTGTGCAAAGGTCTAACGGATACAGGTGTGTTTTAATCTTAGTGGTACAGGTTACTGAGCCTGCTTGTAGCAAAGACATTGGGAGTACAGACAAATTCTGTAAGCACTGGCAGAGAGAGCACAGAGTAGTGCATGCTGCTGAGCAGAGGACTTACAGAAACCAGTCCACAGCGATGATCAGCGTAATGTCTTCAGTAGGCAGCCCCACTGATGTCAACACTATAACCATAGTCACCAGTCCTGCCTGAGGAATACCTGCAGCTCCAATGCTGGCTGCTGTGGCAGTGATGCTGGAGGGAACAGGAAAGCACAGCTATCAGCAAAAGGTAGAAAAGAGGTAGTTGCATTTGCAAAAATGTCAGTAAGTAGCTCAAACTCATAATTTACAAAACATCTTGGCAGACTTTCTGCCCTGGTCACTGAGCGGGATGGTGACACATGGGACATCAACACAGCAGCCAGTCTCCCAGCAGCCAGGCACTCATCCATAACAGACTGTATGCTGCAGCTCTAGCTAAGAGATGGCCCAGAGCTGGAAATGCCATAAGACCTCAAGTGGAGCCTCAAAGACATGGTGCCCAAATATGTGCTTCTACACCTGGAGGTGTAGTACACCCTTCTTTTCCATACTTTTTTCCCCCTTGCATCTTCTGAGCAAAAGAGGAACCTGACCACACCTCAGATAAGCCAACAAAACTGAAGCTCTTCCTGTAGTCCCATAACTCTTTCAAAAATCACCTTATTGTGATGATCTGCCCGAAGTCAAGTTCATAGTTGTTGACTTGTGCAATGAAGATGGCTGCAAGGGCCTCGTACAGAGCAGTGCCATCCATGTTAATTGTAGCTCCCACAGGCAGAACAAACCTCGTGATGCGCCTGTCCACACCATTGTTTTCTTCCAGGCACCTGAAGGTGATGGGCAGAGTCGCTGAGCTGAAAGGAATTTACAAAACAACATGAACTGGGTATATGCTGACTTTGGAAGAGGGACTAAGCCTCTGCCTGGTTTATGACCTTACCCACCTGCTTTTTCACCCTGCCATGTGAGCCAGAGGCCAGAAGCTGCTAGGAGAAAGAACAGTCTAAGCAAGGCTTCCTCAGATATGGTGCACGCTGCAGTTGCACATTCAGACATGGCTTTCCTCAGGGGTCTGGGACAGGGGCTGTATAGCCCTAAGGCTGATGATGCTGGTATAACACCAAAAGAAGGTGATGCTGGAGGATTCAGGGTACGTAGGACAGAGCCTCAAGACCAAAACTCCTTTTCCATCTATTAAAAAAAATTGAGCCCTTTCTCACCCCCCTCAGTGTGTAAGACAAGAATGACCCAAGTGTGAGGATATATCTTGCAGAGAAAACAGAGAATTGTTTCTGAAAGAGAACATGAGCAGGGAAAATGAAGTGTGTTTCAGTGTTAGAATGTTATGTTATGTGCTTGCCAGGAAATGCACAAAGCAAGAAACACGGCACTTAGTGAAACAACAGCTACCTTGCTTTGGCTGTGTTGCTTGGCAGTGTGAGTCATTGAACATACAGGTGTTTATGCCTTTGTCCAGGCCTCTTGTGAGTTTAATGCCAGCTGCATACAGTATGTGTGCCTGGGAGAGAGAAATGTGCAAATGTGTGCGAGTACATGTGTGTGAGAGGTATATGCATAGGGAATAATGCTGCAATTTAGTGGGATTTTATATTTGTCCTCAGCTCAGTGTTACAGTGCTGCAGGCAGAGCCACCACCATGTTTGGTAAGGAGGAATATGGGTCATGCACTGATGGTTAGAGATGTCCACGTGATTAGGGCTCCTGAACAGGGGAGTAGGAATGACTCTCAAATGAGCTTGGCTGGACAAGTGCAAAAAGCTGCTAATGCTAGAAATTAAGAGACCGCAGTGCTGCACTGAGGGCAATGAAGTGCTGAGAAGCAGCCCCGGAGCATCCACACCAGTCCCACCCCTACTTCTATGTAGCCATCGTACCTTGAGGAGGTGCCCAGGGCTGTGATGAGGGCCTGCAGAAGCCCTGCAATGAATACCCAGGGGTTTCTGTGAGTGACAATGAAGTAGAGCAGTGGCAGGATGCAGAGGGCATGAATGAGGAGTCCAACAATGACGGTAAGTGTGTACATCCCCAGCTGGCCTCCCATCACTGCTAGGTCATCCATCTCCAGGATTTTGCCAGCAATTAAAAACATGATCCCAACTGGAGCATACCTGTGGCAGAAACACAAGGCCGATGCTCAGAACTGGCACCCACACTTTCACACCAGCTTTAATGCATGCTGTCTGGACAAACCCCCAATAAGCCAGCACACCAGAAGTGCTCACTGAGCCTAATCGTTGGATGATACTGCTGGTTTCTTTTCTGGACAGCTGGAGGGAGCTGGGAACTTGTTCACCATATGGTCAAAAAACAGTACTTGTTGCACTGTCGGGGACCCCAGCAATCTTGTGTGCACAGTTTAGGCACTGGTGGAGGTTTTCTCCTCCTTCTGGGAGGAGGAAGCTCCCTACATGTCTCCATAACACTCCTTGTAGAAATGATAGGGCAGGTTATGTAGAGGAGTCTTCAGAGTCCCTTCCTTTCCTAACAGAACTTGAGCCAAGACTATTTTTTTCACTGAGAGGCACAGGGAATTACAGGAGAAACAGGGAATCGGGGATTAAAAGCAACAGTGTCTTATAGGCTCTGGGATATCAGCCTTGCTATCTTCAGATGTTCACATATAGGGAATAGGAACATACAGGGAAACCTTATCTGGTGTAGCAAGGACTGAGCACACCACCTCCTGTGAAAGCAGCCATGGCTTATATAAAAACCCATTTTGAGGTACACTGCTATCCTTTCCATTCCTTATGGCTTTTTTCCTCCTCTGTAACAATGCATCTCACGAGCAGCAGTGAGGCTCCACAGAAAGGAAGCCATTAACACAAACACAGAGAATATCATGGGAGCTAAAGTGAACATGGACAAATAACTGGACCAAAGAAAATCCCAGCTCCACGGCCACACCTCTCAGGGCTTGGCCTCTATAGCTCAAGAGCTCACATGCAGTTCATGCACAAGGCTCAGAGGTCCACATGCCAAACTCCAACTTAGCCTGGGAGGTTTGGAAAAGTTTCAGGAAAGGATTTCACAAATATTTCATTTCCTCTGACCTTCCTCTTAGAAGACATTCTTGGATGCAGCTAGTGATCAGATCTCCCCAAGAGAAACAGGCTCCTGGGAGATGTTCTGCCGCCTGTGGCTTCAGGAAGGAGTGCTGGGCTGCAGGTGACAGTTCTGCCTCCTATACCAGCAGGATTTTGTAAGTTAGGAGGTTTCTCCAGACACTACCTACTGTATGCACACAGTTTCCTGAGAGTAACCGATGTGGTATACATCAACACCCCGCCTTCCTTCACTGTAAGGGGGAACTGAAAGAGGGGGTGTTGAAGGTAGCTTGAAATTGTCTCTGGAAGTAGTGTGCAGTTCTACTTGTTCCACTGTGCTCATGCTCTCCCTTCTGTGCCCTCGGACAACTCCTCTCTTCTTGGGAGAGCAAGGCCCCAATTTCAGCCTCATCCATGGAGGAAAAGATTACAGAGGGGCTGGGGCTCCCCAACACTCTGCTATATGAGGTCAGGATTGTTCTTCCCCTTTGTGTCTTTCTGTGTAAGGCCTGTCCCCTGTGCCCAGGATGTTGCTCTGAGACTAGACTGTGACTAGAAGACCAGGGAATGGAAGCTGGAGTGATCTAAAATGGGAGAGGGTGCGGGACTGACAGATCCCCTCCCTGTTAGACATTTCCATGTATTCTGCCAAGCCCCGCAGCTCTCCTGTCTTGTACCTACCACAAACTCCTATTGAGACCTTGAGCCTTAGATGGGTAAAGAGCTTAAAATAACAAGATTTGGTGAAATGCTGCCTTCTAGAGAAGACTCATCGCAGCAATGCCTTGCTTATCTGGACCATGTAGCACAGGCAGCCTTACACAGAAAGCAACAAGCAGCTAAGCTCTAGAGGAGTTGGGATCTGGGAGACCTCAGATCGAAAGGCAGTAACTTTGAGTCGACCTTATCAACCCAGTTCAGCCCTCAGAGCTAATGCATTCCGGCACCACCCTGAGTAACAGGAAAGTGGCAATAGGTTATTGTGATTCATAGCTAAGTCAGACTCCTGGAACATAGCTGGAAGGAAAGCTTTTGGTGGGAAAGTCTCACACCCTACCCCTGTTGGTAAGGCTAAGAGATCTTCCACTCCAGCTCTCTGGTCTTCCAAGGATGTTTCCAGCAGCCTCAAGGAAAGTTCTGGTGTACCTGATATTTCTAAGGTAAAAACAAAAAACAGGAAATGAAATGTGAACAAATATCCCATCCAGACTTTTCCCTCCAGCCTGATGGAGCCAAAGGAGAGCTGTGCCCATCTGCTTTTCCTGTGCATGTCATCCTTAAAGCTACCCCACTTCTCATCAGGTCAGTGGAAACTGCACCTGCAGACCTCCTGCTCCAACCGGCCGTGCTCCTCACCAGATGATAATGGCCACCAGCCTCATGATGGCTTCGTTGAGGCAGTTAAAGAACTCCCGCAGGGCCCGTCCCTTCTGCTTCATGCTGCCGATCACCAAACCGAAGCACATGGAGAACACTACCAGCCCCAGTGCGTTCACCCCATTGGCTGAGCCCGGGATGGGAATGACTTCTTCAAAGGTCAGCACCTCGGAGACGGTCCCCAGGGCATGAGTGATGTTCTCCAGGATGCCAGTGAAGTTCTCAGGCATAGGGATCTGAGTGGTTGTCACACCTGCTGTGACATTGCTGCTGTGGAGGACGGTTCTGGTGAAGACCCTGGTGCTGTACTGCGTCTTGTACTGAAAAGACACAGATGATCAGATGCATTTACAGGCCCTGGTTCAGGAGCTCAGGACCATGAGCTAGGTTCTTGCATCCCTTCCTAAAGAGGGTACTGTTCACTGCTGACCTATAGGGGAAACTTGCCTTGCCTGTTCTCAAGCTCCCTAGCTTAGTACTTTAATCAAAAGGTTCAAGGTCAAGAGACCATTATCCCTCTATCCCATAGACCAAGATATTCTGGCTTCTCTGATAACCCTTTATACTGCTTCCAAGGGCACTAGCACTACAGAAGAGACAAATCCTTGGAGAATCTGCTCCCATTTCACTGCCAGTCCAAGCCTGCTAACTGAGATCACACAAACCCTTCCTGAGTCTGAGTGTGGGATGGGACAGAGGTTGAAGCACCCATCTACAGACAGCTTGAAAAGCTTGCCTGGAGGATGCTATAATACAGACTAATGACTGCAATGCCTCCTGGAGCAGTCAGACTTGGGGAAGTGTGAAGGCAGTATAAAGCAATTGCTGTCCCGTCCCATAGAGAAGTATGTCTAGGGCACGGGGCACAAAGGGAAGTGATAGGCCAGGTGGGATTTCATACCTGTTTGAAGCAGGCTTCTACCAGGTTGGGCGGGAACATATTCCTGCAGTAGATAAAACAAGGAAAGAGTTATAGTCCTCTTTGACTATCAATAAAACATGAGCTTCCTGACCAACACCTCTGTCCTGGAGCAGTGTCTCAGCTCACAAGTCTCACAATGCCAGCTCAGGCTACAGAGCAGGTGGGCGCTTTCTGTCTGACTGACAGAAGATAGGAATATGCTGATCTGGAGTCAGGCATCCTCCTGCATCTTTTCAGACTCTAGAAGGTTGTATTTCAGGTATGTGGAAAGAGACTACACACATACAGCACTGGGATATGGGTCCCTTGTAAAAGCATCATCAAACCAAACTGATCCTTGAAACAATACCATATTACCACCTGAGATGGTACAGCTTTGTAATTCACTGTGTAAGGTCACAGCAAGGGAGCGAGAGACAATGTCTCGGGAATCACTTCCTTTATTTCCTTGGGTCAGTGAAGATGGATATGTGGAGTAGCCTTTGAATTTCTGAAGGGCATGCAGCCATTGATAGTTCTCATTACTTGTGCTGAGCACACCTTGGCCTCTTGCATTAATACCTCTAACAGAAGGGCTGGACTCCAGAGCTCCAGGCCAAGCATTCAATGTCAGAGTGGTAAAGCCAGTTAGCTAGACTGAGCTAGAAGTAGTAGGCTGGGCCCTCAATGGCTACAGTAGCCATCA